TTTGTATTTGTGTTAAAAATATAAGTAGATATATAAAGCGATTAAACTTACTTAATGTAATAATAACTTAATGTAAATGTAAAAATATTTAAACGTTGACATAAATAAATGCGTATTGAAACCCATTGCTGTAAAAAAAGCAATTTGGATGTAGACATTTTCATCTTCAGTAAATAATTTCCAAGCTTTTCCCAATACATAAAGGTCCACTAATATGACATACAAAAGATAATTATACTTAAAGTAACGTTTAGTAATTTAATGTATCTGTATCTTACAAGCAGAGTGATATCATAAACGAGAAAACGTATAATTAAAATTTTTGCCAGGTACATTAAACAGTAATATTTTTTAATAAAATGTTTACAATTGAATAGAATAGGCTCGTAAAATATATTAGAAATTTCATTTTTATTTTAACAGTCAATATATATTAACATATGTATATCTATAACTGATTTTAAATTAGATTTCAATAATGAAAATGTATCATTTTAATAATATTTTAATTTAATTGTTAAGTTAAATATAAATATAAGGCCTATTTAACATATATTGGACTGTAATATATAATTAAACAGAGATACTTTGAATTTTAGAATAGCTACATAATTCGTATATTTTTTCTGAATACTTTAATATTTTTTTACCATAGTTTGCAATGTTTTGTTAATAATTTATTATATACATTCTTTTTTTATTAAAATGGAAACTGCAATTTTTTTATATTATAATTCTATGATTTTATATCATTTGTGTATAATATATATGTATATTTGTTTATATTTTATTTTATTATGATTTTTCTCATACTTGTAAGAAATGTTTGTTTTCTTTGTACTGTAATATAAAACATACCAACGGATCCTATTCCTATAACTGCCATCGATGCAGTCCTTTGAATGTTCAAATGTTTATCCATTTCGTATTTTTTCTCCTAGGAAACTTAACTAAATAAATTGTATTTATTCTGATTTACCAAACCACACAGTCACAATATCTGAAAAGAATGGTTATCTATGTTTAATTCGAAAAATATAAGTATTTATTCAATAACCTATTTTTTACACGAAATAACGAATAAGTTCTAAAGAAAATCAATACACTTAAATTAAACTATTTATTAAAATATTTATTGCAAACAGAAAAGAAAAAGATCAAACTGAAAGTAAATAGAATTAGAAAATAAATCATGATTTGTAGTCTAATTAATTGAGATATTATAAATTATTAATTAATTAAAAATTATTACGGCATAACATCAAGATTTCACCTTAAAATGGTATCTTAGAAATACTAAAATTAACATAATCATAATTTAAGACATAATGATTATTAATTTTTCACGATTATTGGTTTTGTGTTTTACGTAGAAATTAAGAACACATTTAGTATATGAACATTAACATTAAATAATAAGACATAACCGAAAAAATATCAACAAAATATATGCAATATTATAAAGAATATACTAAGTCGTTATATATTTTAGACTTGATAATTAAATACTTATCAAATATAACTTCATTTACTTTACCAAATCGAATATTCGTTCCTCTCTACGTGTTTTGGATACGTGTTTTGTGACGAACAATATAGGAATAATAACGTGACTCTAACGTGACTCTGATGTCAATCGAGACAGAGGAACAAGAAGGTAAATCTTACTTCTAATTGGCCAAAGAAGATAAACGTTATTAGTTGAGCCTCACACGAGCTATCCAATCGTTTACTTTGTCTAAAAGACAATTCGTAAACAATAAATTCGAATCGTTTATATAATAACCTTTGCAACAGAAAAAGAGATGTAATAAATAAATATACGTATAGAGATGGACAAGGACAAGGACAAGAATAGACAAGGATGAAACAAGTTTCTACCTTCCACTGGCCATCCTAGCACCGTAAACGCAGAATTTACTTTTATTACTTAAAGAAAAATTGCATTCCGATCGATTTGTCTTTTTAAAAAGAGACACGAGAATCATCGTGGCGGTACATCATCGCGGGCATTTATCTCGGGCTCTACATCGCATCGTGATGCACCGTCGTTCTCGTTATGGGCCGCTCTTTTTCGGTCACGTAGAGGCCGAGCATGAAATGAAACGTGAATAAAATATAAAGAATGACCGGGCTCGCGCCGGGCACTTCTCCACCCGTTTCTCATCATCCCGCGGGGTATACCACGGGCCGCACCACCCCGGGGAATAGTGATTTAGTGTACTGCGGCAGAGCTTTGCCGGGGTGGTTTCTCCGGGGGATCGCGAATGCATTTCGATCCTCTATCGCGCTCTCACTCCCTCGCCTGTGCCTTCTCCACCGCTTGTTCTTCTTCGTTTTCCATCTGTCTGTCAGCGTTATCCTTTTCGCCTTAATCTTCCCGAGCGTTCGCAGCTTGTTTCATGCTGCGCTGCATTCAGGACATCCCGTACAAAAGGCGACTCAGCCTTGTGAAAAGACAATTTTTTTGTCTTAACGTGCTCACGAAGAAACGTTTACTTGGTTTTAAACACAGAAGAAACGTTTCATCGTCTATTAATCGATTTTTCAAGCTAATAGCTGGTAACTTTCAAAGAAGAAATTACTAAATTTATTTAAATGTAAAGTTTTATATTTTTTTTATTACAAATTATTGCTATATTAATCTTTTATTTAAAGAAATCTGAATCCAATATGAGTCTAATTTGATCTCAGTTTACAATAATATTCCACGATCAATAAATTATTATTATCATATTTCTAATAATATTTTCTACTTAATTATTGTCCTGTATTATTTGCGACATATCATCTTAATTGCTATTATATTAATATGATCTTTTGATATCGTCAAAGAGACATGAATATAGTGTAACAAATAAAACGACTCAACCGCTGCTTTCATCCCTTGTTCAGTTGTCTCGCTAGCGCATCGTTCTTCGTTTTTCGCTCGGCGACCTCCCATTTCTAGTTCACCCCGTTCGTCCCGTATGTTCTCCCCCGTTGCTGTCGGTGGTAAACATATTACGCGCGTACCACTGTCACGGAGAGGAGAGAAACGTAAATGCGAACGAGGGCTCGCATTTGTCTTCTCTGAAAGGATCCGCCATCGAACGCATTTGCTTTTGCTGCGGCGCGTTTCTCTGCTCGTACAGTCGCATTGTCAGATGCAAACACACCGCGATAGCGAGAATCAGCTTAGTCTCATTCGCCATAATAGAGAAAGAGAGAAGGGGTTTCTATTCGCGGCGTAATTGCGGTGCTTTCCCTACCGTTTCGATGTCTTGTTTTTCCTATTTATTTACGACTAAATAAATCGAGACTAAACTCGAAAATTAGCTTTATATCATCGTAACGTGTAATAAACTCTCAGGGAGATGATTTATAAATAAAAAAAAATGATTATTAACCATGAAATTTATAATTTTCGAGCATCGGAAGATATTCCAATTTTAATTATAACTATTAAAATTATATATCAAGGGAAGATGTACATTTTATTTATTTAATTAAAGTATCTTTTTATTAATTTTATAACAATTATTTAAAAAACATATAAGAATTACACATGTAAGAATTATCTAAAAAAAGTTGCTGATACACTTACGAACGCATAAATTATATTTATAAACTTAACGCAGAGCATTTGCTCTTCTCTGTCGTGTTTTCAACGCATTCTTGAGCTTTTGAACGGTTATAGTAAGCTGACGAATGTGCGCCTGTAGATGCTTTATCGTATCGTTGTCCTCTTTCAGTTCCTCCATCGCCACCTCCCAGACGATTTTCGCCTCTTCCGGCACTTTTGATATCTCGTCCCAGTTGACATCCTTGAGGTTGCGCACATATTTGATCGGCGGCATTTCCTTCATCTCATCCTCCGTCAACATGTGAACACGTCGCCCCCTTGAAAAAGAGATTATATTCATCGAACGTTGGCAGAAAATCTCAGGGCTAAATTAGCGCAATTTGATTGGTATTAGATTGTTTATCAATTAGATTGTTTATTCCACTTCGTGAGAAAGTAAATATGAATTTTGCAAATTTTTCTGTGCATTCTTCCGTTGAAGCTGATGATTACAAATGCAAATTCAGGAGATGTATTTCAAATGCAAGTTCTGGGAAACTAATTGTGTGAACTGTTGATCGATTGTTGATTTATTGATAAATAACTAATTTTAATTGTTTTTTTACCTTCTCACGATCGATTTGTTCGATGATAGCGTAGGTGATCGTTCGAGCGAGGATGATCGTTCAGTTTCTGGTTTTCTTTGCGGTGATGATCGGTCGATTTCTGCGGCTTTCGCGATTGAATTGGAGGAACTTGGCACCAGTTTCAGACTCGGAATGACATTGTTCGTCAGAATCAAGCCTGCGGAGCAAGCTTCCGAGAAATGTGGCAAGCACAATGACAAGTGAGCGAGCACGTCGTCATCAGCCTTGCTAATCGCTTCCAACCACTTCTTCCAGCGATCCTCATCTTGAACAAATCTAGAGATTGAAAAATGGCATGAAAACTACTCTTTTCAATTCTCTTTTTATTTTAATTTTTTCGGAAATTTTTCTTCTTTGAATTTCTCTATGTTACATCATGGTAAAATATGCAGAAAATTTATAACATATTCAATATATATCTATAAACGAAAAAAGACTGACAATTATTTGATCACATTTGAAGGTTAGAAAATGAAAATTATGCGACAAAATAAAATAATCTGACAAATTCTTTATCAAAAAATAAAAAAAGACATGCGCTTCAGAAATAGTTTAACAATGTTTCTAGATTAAACGAGTCTGACGAGTTTGAAGATAATTTTGATTAAATTCTTGTATTAACTTCTATCATTTCGATCAATACGAATTAATTTTAATCTGGTTTTAATTTATTTTTTATTCTTTTCTTTTAAAGACAAACTCTGAAAAAAAATAAGTTAATAAAAATCAAGTAAAAATTAAAAGTTAATTACAATAATCTGATATATCTAAATAAGTTGCGTATGGTTCAACTTAATTTTGAATTATCTATAAAAAGCTTATCGTATTTCGATTAAATTAATCATTAGTTAATTTAATCAGAACTTGGTGAAGATTACCTTGAAAAAATAATGGTTGCATTCAGCAGAAAAAACAGCTTTGCAACTATTCTAAAATAGTTTTAATGGTTCATTGTTACTAGTTCTTCATTGGATCTAAAATTATAAAAACCAATGATATTAAAAAATTTTACAACAGTTACAAGATTGCTTCTTCTGCTAAACGCGAACCAATAGTTTATGAGTCTTGAACATAGAAAACCGACAGCCGCGCCATCTCTGATAATTCCATTTACAGTCTCATCTTTGATATTCCCTGTATTTTTCTTCTTTTTTTTTTTTTTAAATTCGTGCTGAATTGTACGATTGCGACGATAAAATCAAATTGAATATTGTTATGCGAAATTTTATATATCATTATTGATCTGTCTGGATTTCCCAGATTCTGTCAAAGATACCTATTACGCAGGCGCGAGTCACTCGCGCGCCACATACATACACGCACATGTACACATGCATGTGCGCGCGCGCGCGCGTGTGTCACAATTCACATTCGAGCCTTACACGTTAGACGATTTCTCTTGAGCGTCTTCGGAACGTTGTTCACAAAGAAAGCAATTCGTCGCCATCTCGAGTACGACGAATAACGTCACTCCTATACCAGCGCACGACCCAAGTCGCAACCGCGAACTGACAACCGCACTAAAACGAGACGCCCTCGACAAACGTCGTCCTCGTCTCGCACTGCTGCCATTGGCTGCGGCCGTCGGCTGCTATAACCAACATGTCGGAACTCCGCGTGATGATGGAAACTGGCGCGAAACTACGAATGAACGATTCTCGTGTTTGAAAATGGAGAAGAGGAAAAAAAATTTTCATTTCAAAAGTGATAGAATATCCAATAAGATATAAACTAATTAAAAAATTTTTGATAAATTGATTTGATTTATTATATAGATTAAAATTGTAAATTTATATCTGTAAAACATTAAATTTTTAATTTTTCCAAGAATTTTAAAAAATTCTAGATTTAACAGAGGAATATTATTTAATCTCTATCGAATCTTTAATATAAATTACAATTGTTAGATATGTGTTAAATATTAACTGAGAAATTATTAAATTACTGATACGTTAAATCTGAATTTTAGCTTTTGTGTATGAACAACAAAAGAATGAATCTTTCTTTTGTTATTCTTCTAACTAAGAATAACAAAAGAAAGATAAAATTATTTCATTTATATCATTCATTCTTTGAAAGCGCATACAATCTCATTTGAAATCTCACTTGTGAAGTAACAAAAACAGAGTTTTCTCAAACAGAGATTTTACAGGATCATTTTTAACATAAAATTCAGACATAAAATTCACGTATAGGAATAAAAATTGGTCGGTGTAACTTTTGTGAAGGGGAAATAAAATGCATGATACGTGCGTGAAATTGATGGCTGTGTTCGCGCGAATCCAGAGAGATATATCCGGGTAACGGAAACTGCGAGTTACGACAAAAAAAAATCCTAAAAATAGAATGCATTGTCAATTGCATACGTCGATTCTACGTCTCGTGTTTTATTTTGGCTGC